GTAGGTGAATATTCTGACGCATACGGCCGAAGTAACCCTAAGTCAAGAACAAATATCCGCAGTCAAAGCACTGAAACAGAAACACAAGCAACAGAACATGTTTGATAAACAGAGCACTGAATTCTGTAGCGAAGAGGTAGAAGAATTGAACATGCCAGAGATTTTGAGCAATGAAAATGACGAAACAGGCAGTGCTCTTTGGGACATATTTAGGAGAGAAGATGTTCCTAAGTTAGAAGAGTATCTAAGAAAGTATTGCAAAGAATTTAGACACACTTATTGTTGTCCAGTTACAAAGGTAACAACACCCACCTGCATCAATTTTTTGACGAATTTACTTTGGTACTGACAGGGTTTCTTCTTTTCAGGTTTATCATCCGATACATGACCAAACATGCTATTTAACCTTAGAGCACAAAAGAAAACTCAAGGCAGAATTTGGTATGTAGCCGTTTACTTGGGGATAATGTTTTGAGTCAATCTTTTGAGTTAAATGTTCTTTTTTGAAACTGTAGGGATCGAGCCATGGACATTTGTGCAAAAGCTAGGTGAAGCAGTGTTTATTCCTGCGGGTTGTCCTCATCAAGTTCGGAATCTAAAAGTAAACTGAATGGCTTTCTTCTTCTTCTACTGCACACAATTTGCTTTTATAGTGGAAAATCTGATGAAAACTTGTCTTTGTGATTTGGACAGTCGTGCACAAAAGTCGCAGTTGACTTTGTGTCACCAGAGAACATCCATGAGTGTCTGCGTCTGACCGAAGAGTTTCGCCAACTTCCCAAGAACCACAAGGCCAGAGAGGACAAACTTGAGGCAAGTCTTTTATCTCTTTATCTTATCTATCCTTTTGACTTTGTTGGTTGTGATCATATTGCATATTTGCTTATGCGGTGGGGTTTGTTTTCGGGATATCTGAATTCAATTAGGAGAGATGGGCAATTGAACCAAACCAAAACCTAGACCAAACCGATTTACTCAATCATTTTTGATGTTTTTAAGTCGTGTTGGCCGTAGAAAACCCCAAACCAATGACGAAATCAAATTAAAAATGACCAAAATTGTTTTTTTTTTTTTTTCAATTAGGTAAAATTGTTTAATTCAATTAGGTAATATTTGTTAAAAAAAACACTAATTACCCATCTCTACCTAATAGGATTAAGAGTAATATAATACTCCCTCCGTTTCGTTTTAGTTGTCGTTTAAGGTTTTTGCACACAAATTAAGAAAATCATTAAATTTTTTGTTTTACCCTTTATTAATATATTTTATAATTTTTTCATTGGTCAAAACATTAAAACATTAATGACAAAACATTAATTTTCACCAAACATTTGCATTGAAAACCTAAAACGACAACTAGTATGAAACAAAATTTTAATCCTAAAACGACAACTAAACTAAAACGGAGGGAGTATCTAATAACATCCGACCTATTGATAACCTAATCTTATTTAAGCTTCCATTGGTTTTTCTCTCTCTTTCAAATAAGCTTTCAATGCTTGTTTGTTTATTTTTTTTTTTGGTAAGATCAATGCTTGTTTGTTTGCACAAATGTGTTTCGTCTGCGTTTGGACTTTGGTGTGTATATTTTTTTTTTTTTGGTTGAAACTTTGGTGTGTATATTTAACAAAACTAGTTTATCTAAAAAGAAAAAATGTTTTCTTTTTTAAATGTGATTTTGTTTTACAATGTTTTTTTCCATGAAAACTTAAACATGTAGATTGAAAACTAGTGAGGTCGAATGCAAAATAATGCCCCCCATGGGCTTTATTGTAACCGGCCTCAATAAGAAAAAATCTTGAGTGCTCGGGTTGTGCTATTGTCCTCACTGTGTCACCACCTATATTCAACCTACATGTTGTTGACCAAAAAATATAGTTTAGGATGCCTTGGTACTTTAGGGTAAATAGGATTTTTGTGTAGAAGTGTTGAATCATCGATTTACCCAAATCTGGTCAAAATTGAAGACCATGACATTGTCTCCACAACAAAGGAAAGGAAGGGTTTGCAAGTAGACTTTTTCTATCAACAAAACATCAGGGCTCAGGTTGCAGAGGGGACTTCTCTCTGCACTTGAGTCCCTTGTCTTTGTCACTGAATGAGAGATTCGAGTTTCGAGTTTTAATTGTCATAAGACCCTTGTCACTACACCGAATTAAGATCCGGGTGTAAGTTTAATGCACCTCGTTCAATTGCCGGGATAGTTGGTGGTTAGTGGCCATCATCTTACACGCATATGGTTTCCAATGCATCCTATGAATGGCTAGCTCTTGATTTACTACCAACTCCTCAAATCGTGGCATCCTCGGCGTTATGTGATCTTGATGGATCATACAATCAATCTTGATTTACTACCAACTCCTCAAATCGTGGCATCCTTGGCGTGGTGTTATCTTGATGGATCATACGATCAATATTGTTGGCTAATGGATATAACACTAAACGTGGTGGGTTGTCGGTACGTGTAAGCGACTCCGATTTCTTCCCACGTTCTCAATGGTCAATAAATTGAACACAACAATGCGTGATAATGGAAGAACCTTAAAATCGTTGAAACAAAATGTCTTGATATATGTTTACCTACTTTTGTTTGCTTTCATGTAATGTCTTTATATTTTTGCTACAATATTGTTTGGGTTGTTCTTGTATTTTAATTTACTTTGGGTTTTTAATAAATTATGAAAATTTCTATAAAATTGACAAAAAAGTATAAGGCTTTCGATTAGCGTCGAAAGTTTTTTGGTTGGTGATCTTAGATCATGGATGATTGCAAATATCTTGGATTCAAATACATGACTCCATCACAATGTGGTTCAACTAGCAAAAGAATTCAACTCGTTCGAAAAAATTTAGGTCCAATGATCCTATATCTTAGATGATACCGGAAGTTTTGAATTCATGTGGTTTCAATTGGTGGAAAATGGTAGGCCTGCTACTTTGAACCGTTCGGTTAATTCGGTTTCAGTTACTCGGTTTTTCGGGTTATTCGGAAAATGAATTATGTACCGAACAAACCGACTAACAATTTCGGTTCGGTTCGGTTCGGACACGGTTATGTCGATTTTTTCACTTCGGTTATTTCGGTTTTCTGACGACAAAGTTCATGGCGATTTTCCGGCGGCTGTACAGAGCGTCGCAGAGTCTGAGACTTAATCACTTCGTTCAATGGAGAAAGAAACCATTGCGAGAGGCGGATCTGCCGTTTCGTGAAGCATATATCTCCGATCCGACAGAGGATACGAGAGGATGGATCTGCACTAACGGAAAGAAATTGCGAGTTGTCGGTGGATGGTCTTTGCATGGGTTTAGATGGTCATGCTTGTAACTGCGTAGAATAGTTTTAGTCATGGTTGGTCATTGTAATGTCTTAACTGGCAAGAATACCAAGCGGTCCACCGTCTGAGCACTAGTAATCCCTTTTATAAATTATAAGAGCTAGTGGTTGAGTTCGTACAGAACCGTTTCATATCACATATGTAAGCAGCATTCCCCAGAAATGGCTCTTTTGAGCTTTAGTTAATTTCGGGTTATCGAGTTTAAACGATTCAATACTTCTGTAATATTGATTCTCTAGTCTCTGGTGATCGGCCTTTCATTTCAGACGTCTACTCATCTAAAGCAAGGACAAACATATTAGAAGTCTCTAGTCGGGGTATCCATTCCCGCCGGCTTTGTATGTCACCTTTGATTTCTACCACGAATAAATGAAGTTTAGTGTAAAAAAGAAAGGGAAAAATGTCCGCAAAATCTCTAACTATGCAAAAGTGTTGAAAATAATTCTCATTTTTACATTTGGTGAAATATATAATAAATTTTTGTTGATTTATTATTAAATCGTAAACTTTTGTTGACTTCTCGTTTAATCGTCAACTTTAGTGGATTTTGCCAAAATAATTACGCCGTGAATTTGACTAACAAAATAAATTAGCAGAGTTAAGTTTCCACTTAAAATCTCATTTTATGGGTTAACAAAGACTTTCAACAAAGACGTAACACCGCTAATTCACTCCGTCAGTCCACTTAACGTCCTATTTTAGCAAAGTCAACTAAAGTTAACGATTAAAATGAGAAATCAACAAAAGTTTACGATTTAATTGGAAAATCAACAAAAATTGATTATATATTTCACCGAAGAGAAAATTGGGAATTTTTTTCAACAATAGTTGAAAATTTTTGAAACGTTTTTTTCCAAAAAGAAACGCATCAAAACTAGTGGATGAAATTAGAAATATCGAGTTAGAAATGTCTCGACTTAATTGTAAAACGATTTTTATTTGAAATGGCTTTTGCTAGTCTAATTTAAGTTTTCTGCTACGCCCGTCGTTTATGATACTTTTGGAACGACCCAAATTAGTTCTTCTCTCCTTTTGTATGCATTTACTGGTCTAACCATTTTATGCTTTTTGTTTATGTTCGTGTAACAGATAAAGAAGATGGTGATCTATGCGATCGAGCAAGCTCTCAAAGAACTTGAAACACTATCAGAAGAGAGCCAACCGATGCTGCAATAGTTGAAGGCTGCTGTTTGTGAATGTCCTGACCCAATCAGGACCTTTGTTGTGCATTAAGTTGCGTAGGATTCGCAGGTTCTGTATAGATAATAGAATAAAAAGCCATGGAAACTGTCAAGACTCAGATCTTCATTTGGCTTTTTCTGTGGTCAGATAAGCAAAGAGACATCGTTAGTTTGTCATATGAAATGGTCATCTATAGGAGAGGAAATATAGGCTTGCTTCAAAAGAATAATTGTATTTGCGACTATTATTCTTTATAGTTTTATAGATAAGAAACATTTACCATTTTCCAGTGGTTTTAAAAAAATAGATTAACATGACACATAATAATACATAGCAAGGACACCGTACATCTACCAAATCATATAACATGTAAGATGTTCGATTAGGTATCAAATCTACCTAAGGATTGACAAACAACAAAATCTACCTACGTAAAAATACCAAATCAATAGCAAAATAAATAACCAAGTGTAGGCAGCTCACCTGTTTGAGAAGTTGCTCTCCAAAGGTGGTTGCGCTCTCTGAACCCGGGTTCAAACCTTGCTTCAGGCAAGGGATGGCAATTATCTTGAAGGAAAATCTGTAAAATTAAAGCTAGCTTCAGCGAAACAAGAATATGACCAAGTGAGTGGTGGCCTAGTGATCTTGAGAGTGAGTGCTCAAGGTCATGAGTTCAACCCCACCTAGTTCTTGTGGCATTAAACCAAAAATAACATGCATGTTTGGTTTTTACCATCTTGCGTTCCATTGATATCGATTAAAATTAACTTACTAAGCTTTTGAGAGTAGTTAAAGCTTCTAAACTAATAGTTTGTACTAGTATTGTCAATGTGTTATAATCATAGTCTACAATTCCACACTAACACAATCACATTGGTTTCTAAGCTTTTAAGCAATAGTTTCCAATATGCTAAAAAAAATGTATCTCCAATGTTCATCTCTATATTTTTCTCTATTTTAAAGGAAATTTTGTTCCAATAGTCCAATGTATGCCTCTAAAATAGAGTTTTTTCTGGCGAAAAAAAAAAAGAGTTTCTTCTAAAATAGAGTAGAAAGACAATGTATGCCTAGAGTAATCCTCTCTCTCTCCTCTAAAATAGAGAAAAATATAGAGATGAGCATTAGAAATGAGCATTAGAAATGCTCCAATCACTTGTTTTGATCATACTAGTAAGGCATATTTGTACATCAAACTCACTACACCAATATGCCATTATACCACATAACTTTTTTAACATCACATCAAATTATAACATCGACTGCAATTCAACTTTAATAACACGTGTTATCAGCCAAGTATACAACTCGTGTTATTAAACAAAATATCATTATGACATTAGATCTATAAAAGTTTCATTAGTTATGTTTGACATCTATATGGATTCTTGCCCAATAAAAGTTATAAAACACACACACACACATATATATATATATATATATATATATATATATATATATATTATTAATTGGGAATCACTCAAAAATAAATAACCTTATAAATGGTAAAATATTACATAGCATGCCATTGGTATTATTGAATTTGAAGAACAAAAGAAAAAAATATATTCAAAAAGATATTCATTTCTTTAGAGCATTAACTGTATAGATACTCAAAAAGATTTATGTGGCTTTTCTATCCAAAATTAAAACAAATTAAATTTATTGTTATGATTTAAAAAAGTTCCATAACAATCGGCTATATTATATTCGAAATAACAAAAATAGAAAATACAATTTTTTCGAAATATTAAATCAAATCTTAAATTAATTTAAGAAATCATATCACAATAGTTATTATACTTGCCAAATATAATTTTATTTATAGATAGTTAGATACTATTTTTTTTTTTTGAAATCGAGTTACATTTAAAGAGTTAGTACGTCCAAACACATAATAATAAAAATATTTATTATATCCATATCAAAGTAAATATTCTTTGAATAAATGTAACAGTAAAAATGAGTTAAGAAGAGAAGTTGTTTAAGCTGTAGAGAGATAAATGAAGTTCTAACGCTTGAACATGAAGCTTTTAATTCTCCAGAATCCCCCATGGCTACAAATCTATCAAAAGTTATATGCTCGAGTGTGTTGATGTTTAAGACAATTCGGAACGAAATTCTACAGAACGCTAATTTCTGGAAAAAAAAACATGATTATTTATGTCCTATTTAAATTTGTCAAGATTGAATGGGATGGGATAGTAATTCCTAAAAAAAATACTAAGTTAGAAATACTTAAGTTATACATATATAGATTCTTGGGCCTTTATAATTTTAAAATGTCTAATAAGAAATGTACTAAGTTAGAAATACTTAAGTTATACATATAGCAAATCACATGTTTAAGATGGATTATCTACGTTTTAGAATTATCTATTATTATTATTTATTTATTTTATCGATTCTACATTAGCTCCATAATTGGTTGTCCAGTTAGGAGGAGTAGTGTTTATAAAAGTAATTTCAGAAAATAAAAGTCTAGACGAACAGGCTAAACAGTTCGCCTTAACATTACATAAATAAGAAATAAAATAAAACGAGAAGAAGGGAAAAGATACACAGAGCAATCCAAATTCGTCTAGCAAATTGGAGAAAGCAGGCCGTTTTTTAGGTGACTGTACCATCGAGACTAACTCTGAACAATCTGTTTCAAAAGTCTGACAATCAATCCTTCTTGAAAGGATATTCTTCATAATCCAAATTAAAGTTTCCATCTCCGAATGAAGGGGAAGAAACACCTCCAAAACCCAACTAATTAATTTTTCTTACAAAACCCAACTTTTATATAAAATATACATTTTTTTACAAAACATAAACCCTCCAAAACCCAACTATTTTTTAATACATCCTCTACGCACATACATCTTTTGCTTACCATTTAGATTGGTTTACCATACCATATTGTTCAATCATTTCTGTAATAACTTTTACATAATTATTCCAAATTTTGTATCACAAACAAACACATAACCTAAATAAAATAAATTTTTAACTCAAAAAATAGTTTGTTGACAAAACCCCGGACGTACGTCCGGGTCCGAATCTAGTATATATATAATGAAGAATGAGAAGAGTAACCTTTTTGATGAGATGTATCCTCTTATTATCTTCTTTCAAAAACTTGTTTCATACCAAAATCCTTTGCAGATCTCTTTTTATCAAACTTTTTTCCAAGCCACTTGATTCTACATATAACAGAGTTGGAGATAGGGTTTTGTGTAACCATCGTTAAATGACTAAAAAGACCTTTAGAATAATATGAATATATACTTTTTTATTGAAAATGATGATTTGGAATTTTCTTAAAACCAAACTTCGCTCTTTCTGTTATTTAATTTGATCAATCTCCAATCAAAAGTGTTATGTATTTATTAGTTTACTTGTTTATTCGTAAGAACCGGTAAGTTTCCCGATTTTAGCTCGTGAATTGATATTTAGTAAATCTTTATAATCATGCAAGATTCCAAAGCTGTTTAAAATGTATGGAAACCAAGCAAATCGGGACTTCCGAAATAAGAAACACAAAAATAAACTACATAGTTATTCACACTTGTTCGTGGAAGAAAAAAAAAATGCCAAAAAAGCAATCCATCCTACTTCATCCACGTGCCATCTGAAAGTCTAGTCAAGATCTGAGTTCCATTCTCTGCGAGTGTATTTTCTTGCACATTAAATGGATGCAAAATTTGATGGATTCTAGAGAGTTACAGATAGAGCCATCCGTCGTGGTTTCTCGTGTTAAGGGTAAAGTTGTGTCCAGTGTGAATATGATGCATGTAAAAAACGTTAGTTTGCCGATCCAAGGGTAAGGGTTATGAAGGAGATAGTTATTGTCTAATTAGATTTCATTTTTAACTTGATTAAATCAAATATATCTGATGTAAAAGACGGGAAAGGGTCCTTTTTGACCACAACAATTTGCAAAGAACATTTTTTAAACTGTACAACACGCAGTGCTAATTTTATACATAAACGTTAAAAAAAATTAAATTACATACCCAAACTTTATATTTCGTCTTCAACGTCATCGTTAACAGATGTTTGTCAACTGTTAGAACGACGTTTTGATGCTTGGAATTTAATTTGAATTCCTTTTTGATAAAACCCAATAATCAAAGTCGTGACTCTTAGCTTGTTAAAAAATACTCATTACTAATTGATCCATAACCTTATTTAAGACAATCACAAACATTTTATATTTATATCACATGTGTTTTATAAAAAAAATTATTGGTTAACTAACATCAACGACGACTCTGAATTAAGTACAAAATATAAAGTTCATCTATGTAATGTGAATTTTTAAAAGTTTAGGTAGAAATTAACATTGCGTGTTTGTACAGGTTGGAAAAGTCACTTTGCAAATTGTGCGAGTCGAAAAATACTCTTTTCCCGGTAAAAGACTATATCTATAGAATGACACAATCGAATTTTTAGACTCTAGCACCATTTCTATTATTTCAAAATCAATTATTCAGTTAAAGATTTAAGTAGTCTGAGTTCAATAGTTTTTGCTTTTTAATGATTTATTCGAATGTTGATCTATAAAAATTTCTAAAGTTCAGTTGTTAATGTTTCTCTTTTCCTATATTCACATCTCAATATACATACACACTTGTACATTACTATCGGTCACTAGCTCTCTATTGGGAAATCGATGAAAGTTATCCAGACCGAGTCGAGATCGACAAAGATTACAAACAGAGATCAAAGTTTGATAATAGAAATAGAGCAATACTTGGGTTCACCCCTAGGAGTGAATTCTTTTATTCACCCCCATTTATTTTAATCAATCAAAATTCGCCACATAATAAAAAAAATTAAATTCAGTTAATTATTAAATCTAATCCCTAACCACTATTTTATAAACCCAAACCGATATATAATCTAGTTTAATTACAAAATCTAAACCCTAATTCTCCTTCGTAAACCCAAACCGCCATTTAAACTCGTTTAATCGTAAAAAATCTAAACCCTAATCGTACTTTCTAAACCCAAACCGACATTCAAACTCGTTTAATCATAAAATCGAAACCTTAATCGTACTTTCTAAACCCAAACCGACATTTAACATTGTTTAATTGTAAAATCTAAACTTGTTTATAAACCCAAACCGATATTTAACCTCGTCTAGTCATAAAATCTAAACCCTAACCCTTTCAAATAAACCTAAACCGATATATAATTTCGTATTCTGATTGGCTGAAGTAAAGGGGGTGAATATAAATATTGTAGATTTGTTAATATCTCAATTTGAAATTAACAACAGAACAAAAAAAGAAAATGAAATTAGTGTGTTCCGATGAAACATACCAAAACCAGTGTTCAAGAAAGCGCTAGGCGCTAAGCGGGCGGTGACCCAGTGCCTAGCGCCTAGAACGCCTAATCAGGGCCTAGACGATTTTTTAGGCGGTTTAGACGTTTATAACATAAAACATTATCAATATAATATTATATATAAAAGTTATATAAAATATCTATATAAAACTAAAAATTATGAAATTATAAATAAAAATTAGATAAAATATTTATTTATATTTATATTAAACAATATATGAATATTTATAACTATATATATAAATAAAACTCTAATTGAAATTGAAAAAATATATTAAACAAGATCTATATAATTTTAGGCGGTCAAGGCGGTTATCTAGGCGTCGCATGAGAGCCTAGCGCCTAGTCGGGGCCTAGGCAACCGCCTAGACCGCTTTTTAGAACACTGACCAAAACAAATGCGTTTACCGCATTTACTTCCTAAGAAACGTCTTAATAAAAGGATTCACACTCTTAATCCCCCTAGTCAAACCATTTAATAATCTTTTAATTATCTTTAGTACTAATATAATTTTATTCCCTAATTAAAAAAAAAACGTCAAAATTCACATTAAAGAACTCACACGTGGACAATGACACGGTGTCGTTTTCATCAACTTCAACGTCTTCCTTATTGACTTGCCTTCTTCTTCTTCTTACTCTCTCACATGTCAAATCCTTGCGATTTCGATTTCTCCTGAAACCCTAGAGATTCTCCCGGAGTTCGGATGCAGATCGCCGGAAGTAAGTAAATCTCGAATTTTCGAGTTTTACTAATGCCGCGCCTTCCGTCGTCTCGTCGCGGCGTCGTGTGGTTTCGATGGAAGATACTTACCACTCTCTCCGCCGCATTATGCATCCTCGCTCTCTTCTCTTTCAACCGTCACTCTAATTCCACTGCGACGACGACACTGTCTTCGTCTCTCTCCGTCGCGAGATCTCGTATCCCGCTCGTTAAATACTCCGGCGATCGTCCCAAACTCGCGTTCCTTTTTCTCGCTCGACGTGATTTGCCTCTTGATTTTCTCTGGGATAGATTCTTCAAGGTTTTAAAAAAAAAAAATCGTCTTTGATCATTCATTGAATTTGAATCTTATTGTTCTTGTGTTTTTGGCAGAATGCAGATCAGAGAAATTTCTCAATCTATGTCCATTCAATACCTGGTTTCGTATTCGATGAATCCTCCACAAGATCACAGTTCTTCTACAATCGCCAATTGAAGAATAGCATCCAGGTAATAATGTCAATGGAGAAGAACTAAGAGCAATTTATATAGTCTCCTCCCAAATGCCACTCAACAAGTTTTGTTATCACCTTGTTCTGTGGATTTTGATGGATGAATTGAAAAGTTTGTAAATTGACTCACTCTCAGGTAGTTTGGGGAGAATCAAGCATGATTGCAGCAGAAAGATTGTTGCTTGCATCTGCTTTGGAGGATCCTTTAAATCAAAGATTTGTTCTTTTGTCTGATAGGTTGTTTTCTTTATTCTGTTTCTGTCCAGATCTTATTGACGTTGAGATTAAGCTATTGATCCACTCAATTCCTTTGGTTATCACTCTTTGTGATGCAGCTGTGTTCCTTTATACGACTTTGGTTACATATACAGATATCTAGTTTCTTCACCAATGAGTTTTGTAGACAGGTAATTTTGCGAAGTTTGCGTTACATTATGTTTCATAGACTATAAATAGCAAATGCAGTAGATAGAAATTGCCTCAGCTAACTGTTGTTGATAACTGTGTTGCTCTCTGTTTGCAGCTTCCTTGATAAAGATAAACGCTACACCATGAAAATGTTTCCTGTTATACGGAAAGAGAAATGGCGAAAAGGATCTCAGGTCTATTCTAATCATATTGATCTCTGGAAACAAAAGTTTTAGTTTTTGAAAGAACTTGCAGACTGTTTCCTTTACAAGATTTTGGAAGTTTGAGTTTCTTTTGGTAAATAAGCTTCGCAGACAGAGAGTGATAAATTTTTATTGCAGTTTTGTGAATCAGTTTTTGTTTGTTGCAGTGGATATCATTGATCAGAAGCCATGCAGAGGTCGTTGTTAATGATGATACTGTGTTCCCAGTTTTTCAGAAATTTTGCAAGGTAATGCTCAAAGTTTTAAATGTTGCCATTTTGATAGTTCTTGATTTCTCGAAGTAGTACATCACCCTCTTTACTGTATCTGGTGTTGTTAGAGTTTGATTTGTGCTATTTTCTTAAAAAAATAATGGATTAGTTGTTCATTTCTTTTCTTTTCCAGCGATCTCTACCTCTGGATCCCCGAAAGAATTGGCTATATCTTGTAAGTTCATTGTCTTTCCATCATTTCATTTATGTCCGCCACTTGAATTATCGGTTTATCTTGATTCTTACTGCTTCTGAGTCACTTTGGTTATATGGAAATAGATTGGCTTCGATTGAACACACACAGAAGTTGTATCTGTTCACAGAATTTGTTTTTCTTAACACCTTTGTTGAAATGAATGCCGAAACAGAAAAAGAGGCGACACAACTGCATTCCTGATGAACACTATGTGCAAACTCTGCTAACAGTAAGCACAAAGAATTATCAAAATTTCTCATTAAGTTCAGCTCTTTCTTAACCAGCTGGTTTTTCGAATTCACTTTTTGTATCCCAATCTTAATGATCTCTTCAGATGCATGGCTTGGAAAATGAAATGGAACGGAGAACAGTGACATACACGACATGGAACCTATCAGCAAAAAAAGCTGAAGCTAAATCTTGGCATCCTCTCACTTTCACATCTGACAATTCCGGGCCAGAGGAAATAGAAGGAATAAAGGTACGTTTCTTATTTTTATATATAGCTGTGCAATCCGGTTTACGGTTTGTTTTTTTTTCTGGTTACTATGTTTGTGCTCAACCCTATTTTTATCACACCGGATAAGCTGATCAATCTTTTGGTGTTGTTGTTTTCTTTTTTTTGCATTCCGGGTAACAGAAAATCAACCATGTGTATTATGAATCGGAGTATCGAACAGAATGGTGCAGGGCAAATTCAAAACCCGTCCCATGCTTTCTGTTTGCGAGGAAGTTCACTAGAGGAGCCGCAATGCGTCTTTTGAGTGAAGGATTATTAGAATCATAAATAGATACAACAACCTTTTAGATGCAAAGAAAAGGTAAGCACAAAGGTTTTATACAACTAAGAAAGAAGAAACCAAGATTGACACCAGAAAAGAAAAAAAGTTAACTTAGAATATACAGGTGAAGCATAAAAGATAGTACATTAATCGATCATATGACAGCAGTTTAGTACAAAGTACAAACTATAGTCTATACATCCTTCATGGATATTTTTAATGGTATTTAATTATTTATATGTTTTATAAAATGGCAATTCATGAAATTCTTGTAGAGAATTTATAGTACAGATGTTTTGGGGAAATAATTCCATTGTTCTAGACTTTCACTATGGATCTACTATCGATTAGGTTATTTTGTAGGAGACTTGGTGTGATGTTTCTTTAGAAAGAAACCTCACTTGTGTACAAAACAAATTAGTAATGTAATAATGGGCTGAAGATTCCAAGTTGGCCCGATCTCATTCTGGAAAATTGGAGGGCAGATATACTTTGCAGTCAGGAATTGGAGGAAAGATACCTGGCTTAAAGTTGCCGGGCTAGACTAAATGACCAGGACTCCAAAGAAGCCGGCCGTGACACCAAATCACAATATCTCGCCTCCTATCTGTTACCTAACGTTCTACAATTTATTTTTCTCTAGCGTAATCTGAACCTTCAAGATTCAAGGAAACTTAGACAAGAACCATATAGTATCTATAACCTTGATCTCGTGTTTTCTTTTGTCAATCTCATATAGATCATGCACTTTCACTAACTAATATATTCATAAGAATTTAGAAATGATATCGGTTTTCCTTGAGAAATACTGTAACACCCCAGTTTCACGAATATGGTGGTGCATGCGAAGAAGTTTAAAAGAATTTGATTTGGTCACCTATGTCACCAAAGTGCACTTATCTTTTCGGTCAACTGTCCTGAGAGAACTCCATAGTTAATTAATGGTGCTTGAGCTGAAGCAATTCCAGAATAGGTGACGACCTTCCAGGAAGTGATTGTCGAAACTGTGTGAGTGAGGACAAAACACAGGAAAAGATCACGTGGTGATTTGTAGGGTCGGTAAACAAGTCTTTAAAACCTCTCAGACGTAGCAGACCGACAGTCGGACAGGGGTGGTGTCCACAAGCCCGAAAGAGAACGTGGGTGCTCACTGGTAAGGACGGTCAGAGCGTTACAAATACATAAGTTTCTAAGTCTTTTTGAACTCCTGAAAGTTTTGATAGATCTATCAACTAAAAAAAAGGCAATTGCATCTTATCGTACATTGGTCAAACAGATAAGTTTTGAAAGAAATTATTTTTCATAGGTTGATAGTAATGGTAGGAGTTGTGTTATGTGGTCTACCTATATTTCTTACATTTTTGAATGCATATTTACGCTTTGCTGCGATTTTCAAATTCATTGACTTATGAGAATCATTAAGAAACCACTAAATCACCATAAATTGGTTGAAATATTAATTCAAAGCAAAACAAATCATAACACGTACAATGTACATATGCTATAGTATATGAAAATATTAATGATAATGCATTGCCCCTCCTTTTAAGAGCATAAATATCACAATAATACTGTAAAAAAACAAAAATTTGCTGAAAGTATTGTCTTTCTTTGACTCTTATTATTACACAAAAAGCTCTTTATTTAGATTCTGATGAAATTGAAATGGTTCATGCATACTTGGACTATTGTAAGAAAGGTTTCTCTAAAAACACATGCTAATTGACTACTTACCATATTTATTTCGGTCTTGCAATGTTTGGTGAGATTTGGAATAAAGTTACATGTTGGTCTGCCAGAAATGTTGTTTAATACTTATGGGGTAAAATTTCATAGGACCCTTCTAAACATGGTATGTATAAAAGGTCTACCGCCTCAACAACAACAACATATTTTCCGAAGCTTGGACTAATTCACATATAATTTGAAGATGAATTCGGAGAATGTAGCTAGTTTGGAGACTCGACTTATGGAATATCTAGTAGTTATATACTAGTTTATGTTCCATCACACTTCCGATGTGGGATTCCTATTACGTCTCTTGAGATTATGACTCTTCCATCCCATCTCGAAGCGAATTTCACTAAACAATTGGTAATAAATCCTACTTGGATCAAATATATGAGACTTTTATACCATAATAGATCTTATCAACTAAAAATTATTGAGTTGTGTTTGATATGAGATTTATAGTATTATCATTAACATAACGCTAACACAACCTCTAATGTAGTTTAAAGTTTCATAATCCAACTCCAAAACATTTATAAAAAAAATAGTAATGATGGAAATATGCTTATACAAGAATAATATCAGAGATTTAGAGTATATTTGTCGGTTAGAATTTTACGGAATTCATTTCATATACATATTTTAACGGTCCTAGTTAGTCTGTTAGATATACATCTTGCTCTCAAACTATTTTGTGACTTGCGATTCTCGTGTTGAAATTCACAATCTCTGGCATTTGAATAAAAAGGGTATATATGCACAAATAGTAGACAGTTTCGACCAAATGACTTTAGTTCTCTTTTTCTGTACGTGGAATTCTCTAAAAAACAAATGAGAGCTTCTTCTATTCTTCAACATGAAGACAGGAATCTTGGGCCATTTTCGTAAATGGCAGTCACAAGAGACAGTCGTAAATGGCAGACCAAATCCTTCATATACACTTTGCGCTCTCAAAAGAAATTTCTTATTTTATCTCTTTTTGTTTACTTTTGTAAATTCGGTATAAAGATGGCAGACATAGTACGGAACCAATGATTCTTTTCGTCAAACCAACCAATGTTTTTCCCTCCTTCATGTTTGAAGGCATTGATTTTCTTTTTTTGTCAACAAAGGCATTGAAATTGAGTAGGACTTTCGGAAAGCTAATAAAGAATCAAGAGTTCCCTTTTCCTTCTTTTTAAACTTCTCAAAAAAAGTATTGTATGTTGAATCCATAATAAAAACTCTTACAAAAGGAAATAAAAATTAATCAAATAATAGTGGGTAAGTAAGTTATTCCCACTTGTAGAGGAATTGTCCCGTGGATTTAATGAGTCATGGATCAATTTTTCTTAAAAGTTGAATTTCTAATCATTTTATTTCGCCAATCAAAATTGTTGTTATTTTTTAGACTTTTTAGCAAATCCGGTGAATAAAACTATTCGACGGCTACACTGCCTTGAATTAATAAATTAGTCGATCGGCTGATAAAATTGTGGATCACATCTTAGTTATTAAAAAAAAAAACAAGTTGTATTGGAGAAATACATTGTTCATTTATTCTACATGATTACATAATACGTTCTTGATATGTATATACAATATTACATTTACATATATGTCAAATAAATATGAAAACATTTGAACAAAAGCTAATCTCTTACTAGTTTTCTAGAAAAAAATGTTGTTCAACCTTTACGAATTTATATAATTCCTCTTAGCCAAAAAATAAATATAAAATTTAATTTCTGAAATGGACAAATGATAAAAACGAGGCCTAAAGTAGTTTGGATAAGAGTTATTTTCTTGTGGTGGAAAAATGAAGTAGTCAAAAATCTTAAATTTGATGCAAACAAATCTTCTTGGCCAAAACTAAGAGACGAATTAATTTCATTCAGTTGCAATCACGAGGTCTACGTTAGTCAAAATTAGATTGATAAGAAAGTGTAATCGATAACGTCTATGTTACCTTCTTCTTCCGTCGTTGAACTTTTTGGCCTCATTGCCTTCTACAAGTCATATAGATAGACCTCTTTTGGACTTATCCACTCTATATAAATTTCTATATTTATCGCATCGTATAAAAGTCTTAATATACAATGACTTAATGCCCCCAAAACATCGATGTAAAGTATCAATAAGAAAGACCGCAATTGATTGGTTCGTTGGTTATATTAAATCCTTTGTCTCACCCAAAATTTAATATGAGTTCGAACTCTCGTGGGAAATCAAAATGATTGTATAAAACCACTCTAGAAGAGTACATGACCAGGAAAGTATCAACAAGTACAAGAAGAGCATTTTGGATGTTTTCACTATTTTATTAATTATTTGATTTTTAAAACCTTTGAAAACATGGGACTCAAAGCACAAGGTTTATTATTTTCTTCTTTCTCTTGTTGACCTTATTGCCAAAGCAGCAGCCAGTAAAGAAACTTGTTCATATACGATTCAATGTTCTAAAAGATGTTACTTTCTAGTTGGATAGAAAATTGAGTTTACTAAAAAACCAATACTACAATTACAAATTTTTCTAAGATTGGTAAAGAGTGGTCCATACCATTTCGTAGTACTCGGCTAATCATTTATGAGATGAACATATCTTTCATAAAAGGTTCAAAACACTATTTCGCAATAAACTAGTGGATTGAAATCTAGAGACTAGAGTCTAGTATACTAGTCTACAATAGAAGATTTATACACAAATAAAACTATCATCTCTAATCAAATTCAAAAACTTCTGAATAACAATTTGTTAAAGATTTCACATATGAATTAAATATTTAAACTCATATAAAAATGATATGATGTTTTTAACTAATTCAAAAACAAAAAAAAAATTGATTTTGAGTTGAAAATTTATAATTTTTCTCATAGTATCATATTTTCGGGTTAGATATGTTGTTGATCCTAAAATGAGATATAGCTTGCAATAATATAGAATCATAATCTCAAATAGACGATGAACAAAAATTATGAAAAACAACACATAATTCTTAGCAAAATTGATCCTTCTATACCATTGATAATTACACCAATCCAATCTGACTGCAGTTTTATTTTTTAATAAGAGTATATGAAATTAATCTTGGACGGTTGAAGACATTAAATTTTTCACCGATTTGGATAAAATGAGGTTGCTGACTGCGTCAAAAATCAAGACCATATATGTGGTCGGATTCAAATATAAAGTTGGAAAATGTCTCGCATGATCTCATCTATATATGCTTATAACTTGTATACATATAGGGGAAAACACAGAAGTACAGAAAGATGTCATAAAAACAAGTACAGAACTAAATATGACACAGATTTATCCTTTTTTTTTTAATTTGGTGTATAAGGTTTTTGTATAAGGTGCTGGTGGAGCTTGGGTATTAAGAGATGATAAAGGAAAGGCTCTAATGCATAGTACAAGATCCTTTATCTCTATCCTTAATAAATCAGATGCTTTGCTCAGGTGCATTTTGTGGGCTATGGAAAGTATGACAAGTCACAAAATTGATAAAGTTATCTTTGCCTTTCAAGACAAGTCCCTGGTTGGTACAGTATTGAGACCTTCTGCTTGGCCTTCTTTCAAAGCTCAAGCCATTGCCTTAAATCGTTCTCTGTTGCCGTT